AGCAAAGTCAGAAAGAATGAGGGAGAAGTGAAAAGTAACATGGATGAGGAGAAAGATCAGAGAGTAGAATAAATTCATAATCTTATTACACCATGGGTGCATGCTTCATAAGGTGTCCCATGAGGAACAGTCTGGCAAAAACCAAATCCCACAGACATCCAAAGATACCTTCAATCAGACATCTGCTGCCTTATCAACTTCACAACAAGCATGTTGTGATTGTCAAGGTTTCTCATTTTTGTCTTTCTGCTTCCAATCTTCATTCCACTCTGCTATCACATTCTGTGATGTGTTGTTTTCATTTCATCTGTCTTCAAGCCTGGGGTAGCAACAGCTGGAATTTGAAGAACTTGGATCTTTTCCTCATCCTTTCTGCTGCTGCAGGCAAGTTTGTTTCTTTGGTTCTCTGTTTTCATCTCTTGTTTTCTTTTTCTCCTTAGTAGTTGAAATGAATACATCCTTTCAACACACTCACTCCACACCTTGTGTCAAAGAGCACAATTGATTTGGCAAAATATTCAAGTCCAAAGAGACTCTCAGAAATGAGGTGAAGGTGTGGGGAAAAGGGGTCCAACTCAATGTCAGCCACCTTTATTTGCCTTCTTGACTGGTCAAGAAGATTTCTGCTGATATCTTCTCTGCTTATATCTTTCACCTCATTATCAGTTGAAGGAACTCAGTGACTTTTTTGGAGTCAAAGGTTAATTATGTAAGCCACTCTATGCCAAAAGTCAATGCTGAATTTGTATTTCTTACCTGTATGTCAGGATGTCAGCAGGCTATGTAATGGGTTAGTGGGGCCCAAAAGCAGTGCCCAAATTTGCCCAAACACTTATGTGAGGTTGAGTAAGGAGTTGAAAGTATTCTTCCCAAAAAACTTGTCTTGGGACTTCTTGGGTTTTGGGTCAGCACTTGGTTTGGGCCAAGCCAAGTTTTAGAGCCTATGCAGAGCACAATTGATCAATTTACACCGCGGGTGCAGTCGGGCAGCCCAGGGACAGCCCATTCAGGTTCATCCCCCGGACAACCCCAA